GTGTGCTAACGTTTTTACATTTTTTGAGTTCTGAAGTGTTCCTGGCCAATGTTTTGTCAGTCTCCTTCAAAAACAAAATCTTTCATCTGCAGGTTCTTGTAGGATGTACTCAACTAGTCTTATAAGAGTGTACGAACAACTACAAAGCCTGTTTAATTCTCCTCAGAGCTTTTGCTTTTTCATTAAGAAATTGAAAAATAACTGTTATGATAAATGTCTCTTTCAGTTTTACCGGTGTCTGTTTTGAAAACAGAATACAAATTCTCACTTCCACCCGCTTCTTCACATGGAGGGTTTCACACGCTGTATTTCTTGTCAGTTCAAGACAGCAAAGTGCATTTGAAAATGTTTTCTGATACAGAAGAAAAAGACTATGAAATTGAGCTTAAGGTTTGTTGTAACCTTTTACTGATAAACGTTTGCTGTCGCAAAAAAACGCTATACTTTGCGCAAAGAATTGTACAGAACTAAAAAACTAAACTTATTGCCTTAGACGGCCTTGTTCGTGACTCTAACTTAGAAACTGATCTTTGCTGTACAAAAGTAACAAGATCAGAGAGAAAAATCCAGCAGCAAAATGGTTAACAGAAAATTACTTGTTTTAATTATTTGAAACGAGAGCTATAGAATTGTATACTCTATATTTTTTTCCTTTATTTTGAACTGATGCACTTAGATACTGCGCCTTGTAAAAACAGCAGTTTCCACGATCTTTTTACTCCACAATGTTAAAAGAAAAGGTTCAAAGACAAGGAGTATCACTGAAAGGCACAGCTGCTGCTTATGAACTTTTCTTTTTTACATTTAAAAGAAGAAAATTGCAAGATTACTTCTATCAAACATTTTAGGGGGCTCTAACAGCCGATATTTCTGTGTTTTCAACGGACTCAAAAGTCTTGACAGTAAGTGCTACAGGCGACCAGCCATTTACGATAATAGCAACAGTGAACCAGTCACCAATATTTAACAATGAAAATCGTACTAATTTTGGGCGCTTCGTACCCCGCTCAATCTTTTTCCCTCGTAAGTGATATACACCTAACGACCATCGTACTGTCGTAAGCATCAACTGCAAAAACAGTCAGTGCTGTAAAAAGTATTGACTATTTTGCAGTTGATGCTTTATTTTGAGTTGTATAACTTTATTAATTTGAAAAATGTTTTTGTTTTCCTGTTTATTACAACGTTCCATAGTCTTCAAGTATATAAGTGTTTGAAAGAAGCCGTAAACAAAAAACGTTTGCAGTCTCTGACAGTTATACTTCTACGACATCGACACGGCCATCAGCCGGACCGACCGCAACAGCAACAACTTCGGCATATTCGCCAACAAAAACCACAGTAACAACGTCGATAATTCCGTCAAGAAGTACTACAACGAAGACCCCTACTGGGCTTGCGACTCCAAGAACTTATTTTTACTCTCTTTTATTCCTGCCTCTATATATTGTTTACATGTTTATGATATAATTTGGTTTTACCAGCAATAAACCATATAAAAGACATCGTAATTCTTTTGACATATGTGCTGTGAACCTGTTGTTTCGCGACAAATTTATTTTCTATCTTGTAGACAGCGGACATTTTTGCCAAAAACCTTCTAACAGTTTTCTGACCTTAGTTTTTTGAATATTTCTCTTTTAAAATAAGTAGCATAATTTGGCAAGCTTAAAAATATTTCCTGGATGGAACTCGCCTGTCTGAGGAGCTTCAGATTTTCTTTTCGAGTAATCCCAAGAAGAAATAGAAACGTTATTCTAGTGATTCAGCATTATAAAGTCAAAAAAAAGAACATTTGCTACTGCTAACAATGACTACCCTATTACTTTCTAAGCAGTCCTCTCACCCGTCAGCGTTGAAAAGAAAAATATAAAATCTACTAGAAAGACGGTTGATCTTTAACCAAGCAAAAGTTATTTGGAGGTGATTTTACTATACTTTCTTGAAAACAGTTTGGTACTTGCTTTCGGTGTTG